GGGGAGTGGTGGCACATGGCAGCTTATCCTGCAGCTGACCACTAATGAACACAAACCTGAGGCCCCGTGGACACCCCCAGCTTGGAGCCACGGGGCTCCAGAAGCCTCTCCCGTAGAGGTGTCTGTTTCGTGTCGAATCGGACCCGGTTGCTGCAGCCGCGTGCTGTCTGAGAGGAGAGCTGGGCCCGTGGCCTCGGCGCTGCCGTTCCATCGCTACTTAACGTGCCAAATGGAAAAGAGTGCGGACACTGGCTCTCAAAGTCCCCTTCTGCCCCAGCCTGAGTGCCCTTGGGCGTTCCAAGGAGCCCACTCAGGCACGCATTTGCCCAGCGAGCGAGTGAGCGCCTCCTGCCGGCCAGGGCTAGAAGTAGGCCCTGGAGGTAAAGCATGGCTGCAGAGAGCTGAAGACAGAAGGCGCGCTCTCCCCTCCAGTCGGGGGACGGCGCTGAGCACCGAGTAGGTAAGGGGGGCGCGTAGCAGTGGCAAAGGAGGCCGGAAGCTGTCTCTGGGCAGAGCCGGAGGTGATCAAGCAGGAAGGGGCACTTCCAGCCAGAGGGCAGTCAGGGAGGCTCAAGACCCCGTGTCCTGCCAAACCCAGGCACGTAGGGAAGCGGCCAACAGGGCGCTGGGGTCGGGGAGGCCCAGAGGGGCTGAAAGTCCAGGCTCTGAACCTGGGTCTCCGGGGAACCACGAAAGATCCTAAGCAACGGAACAGCAAAAGGAGATTTAGGTGGAGAGCGAACGCTCTGGCAGCCGGTGGTCAGAGGAGAGCCACCAGGAGGCGACGCTGGGCCGCGCGGCTGCGGGATGGGGAGAAGGGGACTCCGGTCCCACCTGATGTTCTCTGTGTTCTCCATGCGGGGCTGCGGCGTGGATGCTGGGGGAGAAGTCTGGGCTGCCCTTTAGCAGGAGGCGGAGGAAAGGAGTGTGTGTGACCTTGACCTTGCAACCAAGGGCCTCTCTGCATGCTGACCTTTCACCTACCAGCGGGCCAAGAGGAAACCCCAGAGGCGTCGGTGAAGGAGAGTGGGGGTGGGGCACAGGGCTCACTCTGCGGCAGCACAAACCCACACAGCTTTGGGGTTGCAAATTTGGCATTATCTGTGAATTTTTACATTTTTTAAAGTTTATTTATCTTTCAGAGAGACAGAGTGTGAGCCGGTGAGCAGAGAGTGAGACACAGAATCTGAAGCAGCTCCAGGCTCCTGAGCTGTCAGCACAGAACCCGACGTGGGGCTCGAACCCACGAACCGTGAGATCATGACCTGAGCTGAAGTCAGACGCCCAACCAGCTGAGCCATCCAGGCGCCCCATTTGTCTCTGAATTTTTAAAGAAGACACGTGTACTTTCTCTAAGCCATTTCTAGGATGACAATCTTGTGAAACGTGCACTCTCCTGCGCGCGCGCGCGCGCGCGCACACACACACACACACAAGGTTCACTATAGCATTTTTAATAGTGCAAAATATGTGCTCTTAAAAGGAAACCATCGAATATTCCTCATTAGTGGACTGGTGACAGAACTCGGGCCCATCGAGCCGCTGGAAAGAGAGGCACCCAGCGTCAGGACGTGGATGTTACTGTGCCAGGAATCACCCCGCAGGCTGCTGAGTGCGGATGCTGACTCGGTGGGCCTGGGAAGGGCCCACAACACTGCTACGTTCCTAACCCCCCAGTAACGCCGCTGCCAGGCTCCAGCTCACCGACGTGCAGAGAAGCCTCAGCTGAGTCATCTATTGCAGAACAATAGGTCCTATTATGGTAAAAAAAAAAAAAATCATCATCATAATGCAAGTTGATATATACACTGAATGCCCAGAAGGAAATGTATTTCTGGAAAGAGGCGCATAGGGTGGACTCCCCTTTTACATCCCATGTACAACTCTAATGGTTCCGTTTTTACAGCGAACATAATTTATTTTGCATCAGTAAAAAAAAGTAATCAATAAATTGATGCAGTGAAACAAAAAAAAATTGTGAGCCTCAGTGTCACGGACAGAATGTTTTTGTTCCCCAAAACCCATGTGTTCAAGTCCTCACCCCCACTGTGACGGTGTGCGGAGCTGGGGCCTTGGGGAGGTGATCGGATCGGGAGGGGGAGCCCACGGGGCTGAGTGCTGTTCCAGGGGGACCCCAGGGAGCTCCCTGACGCTCCCACCAAGGGAAGACCAGTGAGAAGACGCTGTCCGCGAACCAGGCGGGGGGCGGGGGGGCTCACAAGATACCAAATGTGCCGGCACCCTGACCTTGGACTTCCAGCCCCCAGAACTCTGAGAAATAAATGTCTGCTGTTTAAGCACCCGCACGCGCGCGCGCACACACACACACACACACACTTAAACTCGGACTAAGACACAGAGTTAAAGGCTACACTTTAAATTGTAGATCATATTACTCGTTATAGATCATTCACGCTATTATTTTTAAAAAGCTGTCAGGCAGAGCCCAACCCGCAATTTTTTTCCAGGCTGGGGGACAAGTGTCTGATGCAACAGGCGTCTGTCTGCCCTTCAACGCCCACGAGCCTCCGCCAGCCCCGCGGGCAGAGGGGTGAGCCTTTCACAGCGCAAACCCGTTCGGGTCGCGTCCGAACAGTCTTACCCACTCGCCCCCCGAGAGGGTCTCACTGGGTCCTTTGTGCGCCCAGAATTAAGACGAAATGCGGCACGAGTTGCCAAACCTCACACACCTGGCCCCCGCCCCCCCAGCTTGTATTTTGCACACGCACACCCACACGCACACACCAGCACTGCAGTTCCGCTACTGGCCGGTGCCCTCTGTTGCCCGGGTCCCCGTGTCATCAACGGACTGTGTGTTATGTTTGCGTTCCTGGACGTGGCAACGGGACGGCAAAGCCTCTTCTCTCCCACCCCAGCTGCTCTCTCGAGGGAAGCAGAACTTCCTCCCGGCCAGCCGCCCGGACGCCTGGCCAGCGGGGCGATGGCGGTTTGCGGGTTTGGGGACACAGAGCTCCTCCAAGTGCGGAGCCGCCGGAACGAATGCCGAAGGCCTCCCTCCCTCACTTTAGGATTTTAGGGTTGAAAACTATGCCCAAGATTTGCCCACACGGAGTCTTAGAAGCCGTGGCTTCGGAGCAAAGCCGCCTGGGCCATCGGGAAGCCAGAGCTGGCCAGGCGGCCTGGACGCTGCCAGCCCAGGGCTCAGAGCGCCCGGTGAATGCCAGCTGATTAGGGAGCTCGCCGGCCTTCACTGAGCAGTCACGACGTGCCTCCCCCCTTCCAAGGACTCTGCGTGAGTGAATGAACTTAATTCATCTGGTTCCCGTCAAAATGGGTTAGAAACAAGGGTCTGTGGCTGCCTCCCCCAATTAGCAGCAGAGAAATGACTGAGCGAGAGGGAAGCGTGGACCCCAGGACATTACAGCGGAAGCAGGGGCCCTGAAGAGACGGGAGGAAGGACAGGTGGAGACACGCCTTCTTGCTTCGGCCTCGCACGCGGCCAGGGCCCGGGAGGGGAGGCTTCCGGGAAGGCGGGGCCAGGCCAGCACCCCAGCACCCGCTCCGCAGTGCTCCTCACTCCCGGAGCCCCAGGACCGGGGCTGCCCCCCGCAGGCCCGCCCTCCCCTGACGCTCCTCTCCAGGCCCTTAGTGGTGTGGACGGGGAGCCGATGCCTGATCTCTCCACGCTGCAAGTTGTTCATCAGACCGGCTCTGACCTTCAGCCTCTGAGCCACTCATTCCTTCAGGAGTGTTCGTAGCCCCGGCGAACAAGCCCTCCCCCCAGCCCCAAATACCGATGAGGGGGGACAACTAGCTGCATGGGACACAGAGTGAGGGTGTGAGGTCCAGGAGCCTGCAGCCGCCCGGCAGAGCCACTGAGGGAGAGCGAGAGAGAAGCGCATACATTCCACCACAAAACCAAAGACAGCAGGTGTTTTTAAAAAGCCCCATTATTTTTATAACAGCCCCGTGGGATGGGCACGACCATCATCCCATTTTGCAGACAGAGAAACTGAGACTCGGCCTCAGTGGGGCTGAGCACGGTCACACAGCTAGGAAGTGTGAGGTAGGATGTGAACCCAAGCCCCAGAGCCCCGGCTGTTAAACGCTCTGAGTTTTGAACTTTTGTTTGGTTGTCTCTGGTCCTTCCTGAAGTTTCTCTTTTCTCTTCACCTCTGAGCCACGAGTAGGATTTGCTTCTACCTCCGGGCTCCCCTCTGCTGCGCTAGCTGCCTATGATAAACTACCTAGTAACGAAGGCAGCCGAAAACAACAGAAATGCATAGGCTCAGGGCTAAAGCTGGAAGTCGGAAATCCGGGTGTGGGTGGGGTGACTTCCTTCTGGGCTCCCAGAGAGAAGCTCAGGCCTCTCCCAGCTGCTGGTGGAGGCCCGCAGAGGGGTGGTGGCCCTCTCCCCGCGGAGCCCGAACGCTGGGGAACCCAGGAAGCCCCCTCTTACCTTGCCTTTGACTGAAGTACAATTAACAACCAGTGTTATATTAGTTTTAAGCTCACATTCCCAGGCTCTGGGAATTCCCACGAATACTTCCATCCCGGGACACGGCTATGATAGAGAAATAATGGAACATCGCCCTGCAAATACCAGGCAACCCTAATAAATACGGAGGTGAGACATAACACTGTAGTGGAGGGACCGCAGGCCTGAGCCTGAGGGAAACTAGCAAGTGTCAGAATCATAAGCTTGGATAAGTTCCGCCGGTAAAACGCCACTGAAAACAACATTAACATTTTCCCTACGGATCTGTGAGAGGCAAGCGCCTCTGAAGAGCCGCGCCACCCAGACAACCACACTTACTCCTGTGGCACAGGCCGTACGGTTTCCTTCGTTAAATGAGAATGCACTTGTGTGCTCAGCGCACTGACTTTACAGCGTTTGCAGAGCAGGCGCCCTTTGCGGCCGCGCCGTTCCCTGCGCTGCCGCCCTCCCGCCAGCAGGGGACGCCGCCCCGTCCGGCGCAGCGCCGGCCCTGCCCGGAAGTCCCGCCCGGCCGGAAGTTGGAGTAGGAGCATCCAGGAAAATGGCGGCGTCCGTGAGCGCGGGCGTGACGGGCCGGCGCTGGCGCCGGGGGCGCGGGCAGCACGGACGCGGGGGCCGCCGCCGACGGGGGGGCGGCCCGGAGGGAGCCCTGAAGCGGCTGAAGCTAGCGGTGGAGGAGTTCGTGCAGGCGACCTCCGAGGGTGAGACCCCCGGCGGCCCCGCGGCGCCCCGGGCGGAGGGGCGCGTGCGGCGGGGCGGGAGGAAGAGCCGCAGGGAGCTGAGGAAGGAGAAGCGGCACCTGAGGAAGGCGCGCCGGCTGCAGAGGCCTGCGGGCCGCGAGCAGGGCCCGGGAGGCGGCGGCGCGGGAGCCGGGGGGGCGAGCGGCCCCCGGGCGGAGGGGTCGGCGGGGGAGGGCGGCCGGCGGGCCCCTCGTCGGGCCCCGGCGCCCCCGGAGCGGCCGCGACCTCCGCCGGCCACGGGCGCCCGGGCCGGCCCCGAGGCCAGGGGTCTCCCCGGGAGGCCCGGGCCCCCCAGCGCCGCCGCCGCCGCCCGGAAACGGGCCCTTCTGGCGGCCAACGAGGAGGAGGACCGGGAGATCCGAAAGCTGGAGCGGCGCCTCGGCTTGAACAAGCGCCGGAGGAAGGGCGACGCTGGCTCCGTGCCGCGCAGCTTTGCTCGCGACGGGCTCGACTACGTTCTGGGGGCCCTGGGCTCTGGGAGACCCAGCGGCTCGGACGGAGGCGGTAGTGACGACGAGGAGGACGCCGGAGAGACTGTCCCCGAAAGTGACTTGGAGAGCGACACCGAGGGGGAGGGGGAGGAGGAGGAGGAGGAGGAAGAAGAAGAAGAAGAAGAAGAAGAAGAGGAGGAGGAGAACAAGGTGGAAGCGGGAGCGCAGAGTGAGGAGGCCGACGGGGAAGAGAAGAAGCCAAAAAAAGCGGCCGAAGGGAGAGCGAAGTCGGGAAGGGACAGAAAGAGAGTCCGTTTTGCAGAAGAAACGAGTGAGACTCCCTGTGAGGACGCGGACGCAGACGCAGCAGACCAGGTATCGTGTGACCTACCTAAGTTCTCCGGGATTTTCCCCGAAATCTTCCCGGAAATCACGCCTAGGGGCCAGAGTGGGACAGACGTGGCATATTGATGTATTGGTGGGTGTGGAGCCAAGTGTGGGTAAATCGGGTTATTATGTCTGTTACGTTTTTCCATTTCCGCAGTGAAGACTCAAGGGAGGAAACCTCTCTGGAGAGCTTTAATCCCAGAAGCTCAATGGCCGTTCCCACCGGGTGCCCTAAGGCGACACCTCCTCCACCCGGTGCTTACTGCCTCAGCCTCCAGACCTGACCTTGAATCCCCTCCCCTCTTGCTCTGTTCCAGGTTGGCCGCTGGTGTTCTGGGGGGGAGGGGGGACGGCTGCATCACCCCTGACTCGCCTCTGCCCTCACCTAGTCCTTTTTCTGTCCCTCGGCTCCTGGAGTGAATCTCTAAAACGTAACGCTGATCTATAACACCCGCTTCCACAAAGTCCTGCGCTGAAGATCACGTTCAGCAGCCGCCTTCTTGGGGGGGGCGGGGGGGGGCACTTCCACGCGCACCTTGAAGGCAGGCAAACGAGTGTGCACTCCTTCCCACATGTCGCTGTTACCACGTTCTGTCCATAAATGCATTTCTCCCTCCTGTTAGCACAGCCTAGCCTCGGCTTCTCACCGTGGCTGTCTGTCCGTCCACGTAGACTTCCTGGGTGTTTTTCCCCATCGTAAGTGCAGGCACTGACTCTTTGGTGTCTGTCCCCGGAACCGTAGCGCCTGGCGTTCTGTGAATGGTCTGTAACCGCTGTCCGTTCCTCTCTCCGGACTTGACTTTTGGACCAAAGTTCCCTAACTGTTCTCTCACGGCTTGTGGAGGCAGGGTTGACGCGTCTGAGGATGGGTGTCTGGAGGGTAACAGTTTCCGCGGATGTTAAAGTGTCTTCTCCAACCGAGTTTGAGCCCCCTGACAGCAGGGGTCACACCTTACACACGTTTGTCCCCTGAAGCCCTCACTTAGGTACCCGGACAGTGTTGGTCAACGGTGGTGATCTGTAACCTTCCCAGTTGATAATCTGGGACATAGTGAGCAATAGACTGATTTTGATTTGGTCATATATGTGTAGATGCAGGTTTTGAACCGGTTTGAAGTTCTTTTCTTTTATTTTTGAAGTTATCTTAGAAGAGTCTCCCACCAAAACCGGCAGTGCACGTAATTTCTGTGTTTGTGAACTGACGTTCCTGCCGAAAATTCACCCCAAGGAGGCATAGAATGTGGGGCTCTGGTGGGCGGATGCCAGGGGGGCACGGCCAGTTCTGAAGAGTCACAGGGAAAACGAGTAGACCAGACGTGCCGACAGTGACGTCAGTGCTGACGCCACCAGGCTGGTGAACGGGGCTCAGGGCTCCCCGTGGCTCAGAGTACATTTCTACTGATCGTTAAGCGACAGTGGTCAGTGGTCCAGCACCTGCGGGTCCGTAGGACTGTAATGTGGAAATGTGAACGCAGCAGGCAGAAGAGTGGAACTTGTCCAACGTAAAACTTTTGTCATTTATTTCTGTCCTTTTAAGCAGAGGCTTTGTGGGAGCAACGGAAAGTACATCCCGCCTCACGTGAGGCAGGCTGAGGAGACCGTGAGCGGTGAGAAAAAGGAGGCACTCGAAAGACTGAAGAGACACGTCCAAGGTCTCATCAACAGGTAAGCTGGCGACACCGTCACCCTGTGCCACAGAAAGATGTTGTGGTTTGAGGATATAGGGACTTTCCCAGCACAGACCGTAAGCCACAGGGGCGGGCCCATCGTGGTTGATCAGCTCCTTCGTGCCAGCTCTGTGCCTCAGAAAGCAGGATGCTCGCCTTTTCTGTCTGGTACTTTGAAGCCTTCGGAGTTTGAGAGCCACTCAGGCGCCATGTGGTGGTTCTGAGAGGTCTGGGCACGGATTTCCCCTGCGCGGGTGCTCTGGGTCTGGGGTGCGGGCCTCAGTCCCCTTGTCCGTTACTCATAGTTGCATGTGTGTGCGTTCTCCGCAGGGTCTCACGCAGGGGCCCCAGGTACCTGCCCACAGTGACGGTAGGACCTTCCTGGCATGCTGGCCTGTGTGGTCGCACCCGGTCCTCCCCCACACCCATCGCCTTGCTTTGTTTTGTTTTGAACTTTACTTATTTATTTTGAGAGCAAAAGAAAGAGCAGGGGAGGGGCAGAGGGTGAGGGAGGCACAGAATCCCAGGCAGGCTCCATGCTGTCATGAGATCATAACCTGAGCCAAAGTCAAGAGTTGGACACTTAACAGACTAAGCCACCCAGGTGCCCCCATTGCTTTGTTTTTAATTAAAACAAAAAAATAAAACATTTTCCATGGTACATTCTGGAATTCTGCCAAGCATGCCAGTTTCATGCCCATGTCGGCACAGGCACCGTGCATCATCTTCCATGTGCACACCCAGCCCTCCCCCCCACCCAGTATGCGGAGCAGCCTTTTCTCTGTGCAGGAGCTGCAAGGTTTTATGCCGGCCTCTGGCCCAAAAGCGGAAATGTCAGACTTCCTCCCAACGGCGCATACGGACATGCCAAGTCAGGGCAGGTCCCTGTCTGTGCCTGGGATGCTGGGTCAGCACAGTGGTGGAGCGCCCTCATTGCAGGGTCCCGGGTCTTAAAGCGGGTCCCACGAGTGCCCCCCGCAGACGGAACAGCGGCTGGGTCATTGCAGGACCCCAGAGGACCGCGTGCCATGTGCGGTGCGCGTGAGTCATCGGGGCCCCCCAAAGCTGGCGGTGGGTCAGACGTGCATGTGAGACCTGGGCATTGGGTGTCCATGACTCTGATCTTTCTAAGCGGCCCTAGGAAAGAATCCCTGATGTGAGGCGTCATGCTGCTCTGTCTTCACAACTGTCCACAGGTTGAGCGAGCCGAGCGTGGCCTCCATCAGCGGGCAGCTGGAGGAGCTGTACCTGGCCCACAGCAGGAAGGACATGAACGACACGGTGACGGGCGTCCTGCTGAGCGCCTGCGCCCCGGGCGCAGCCATGCCGGGCAGGCTAGTGATGGAACATGTGCTGCTGCTCAGCGTCCTCCACCACACCGTCGGCGTGGAGGTAGGGCCCCCTCCCCGCGCCAGGTCTGGTCCGCCCAGCACTCAAAGTCACGGTCGGCTCGGCGGGAGGGTGCTGCTGTGTGTCTACCACGTCGGAACCACGTCCCCGAATACGGGGCTCTGCGTCCGGCCCGTTGCGGTGCCTTCGTCACTGGTGGTTCGCTCGGGAGTGATGCTCCCGGCTCCCCCGGGGACTTGCAGCAGGTGCTGGAGTACAGCGGTCCACGTGGTCTTTTCTGCTCAGGTGTTCGCACTGGCTGCGAGGTCACTTTTCCGTGAGGCCACCACGCTGGGAGTGACCGTGGGTTTGATTAAGTGCGGAGACGTGTGATGGGGCCGAGGCTTGGAGCCCCCAGGTCACCTGCGGGCCGCCCGTAGGCTCTTCCTTGCTCCTGGCCCTCTGCGTTAGCCTCGGGGAGGCCATGGGGTGACCCCTCCCGCTCTGATAAGTCCTCTTGGGTCACCTCCTACGGTGAAGCCACGACCTTCCCAGGGCATTCGTGTCCACGGTGTGGCCTGTCCCGGGCTTAGCAGAGGACTCCCAATCCCAGAAGTTTATGCTGAGACACGGGAGCCGACGGCTGAGTAGGAACCAGGGCTTCATCTCCCCGGGTGGCGGGTCCTGTGAGACAGTACGTGTGTGGTTGGTTTCTTTGCCTTCTGATCTCCTTCCTCCCAGGAATGAGCCTCCCCTGACAGCCTGACCCCGGGGCGGGTCTGCGCCCTGGCGCATCCCTTACACCTGGTCCCCTGGGACCCGAGGGGCGAGTGTGGGGAAAGCCAGGCCCGGGAAAGTCTCCAGCATGTAGGTCAGCGTGCTTTTTCCCCTTGCTTGCCTGTTCTTTGCTCTCACAACTCACTGGCACCTTCCAAGCAGGCCTGGCCCGGGCTCCCCAGAAAGGCCGCGAACTTGCCAGACAAGCTCTCCTATGTGTGCTGGGGGTTCGGTGGCGGGCGCAGCGTGGCACATGGGGGAATCATTGGCTGCGTCCGTCACTTGACAGTGGGCTTGGGCTAGCGAGTTGTATACACGCTGAGGGTATTCGGGGGCCTTGCCCACGGGGCGTGCTCAGCAGAGGTCCCTCACGCTGATTCGTGCTCCGTGTGAGACGGTGTTTTGAGGTTGAAAGTCTCCTCACCGGCTTCCCTGCCACCACTGGCTTCATCGCTCTCCCTACACAGCCTTTGGAGCCAGGCGCTCCCATCCAGCAGCGCCCTGGCGAGGGAGTTTGGAAGAGGCAGATTGTAGAACCTTCTGGGCATCAGGAGGTAGGGACAGAGAGGCCTAGGCCCAAGGGTTCTGGGCAGCGGGACTGTCCTCAGCTACATCTGCGCCAGCCCCTTGAAGTAATTGTTTTGTCTGTAAGAGCTGTCCTCGTTTTCACATGACACACCGCGAGTCCCTTCCCTTTCCTGTGAGGTGTGACGGAGTCACTGGACGCCTCTCCCGAGTGCCCTGGGGGGTTCCGAGTGCTCCCCCGCCCTCCCGGGGTCACACTGGGTACTTTGTAGTCAAGAGGACTGACCGTAGATGGCGTGTCGAGTTCCAACAACAGCTGTGGACGCCAGCACCCCCAGCACAGAGGACCCGCAGGACTGGAGGGCATGAGGTGGTGGGTCCCACCTGTCATCACACCCCCACTCACAGCATGAAGGACACCCGAATGACTTGTCCCCGGGGAGTGGTGCTTAGCGGGCGACGTCCACCTCTGCCAGAAGATGACCCCCTGTCCGGATGGGTCCGTCAGTCTGTCAGTTCTGTGAGAAAGGCCTCCCCACAGGAATTCATGGGAGGGGAAGAGTCTGTCACAGACCCCCTGCTGTCAGTTACTAAAAGTGAAATCGGGTCTGCACAGCTTTGCTTTCACCTCTCTGAATCAGGGGCTCCTGGGTGGCTCAGTGGTTGCGCATTCGAAGTCATGATCTCGCAGTTCACAAGTTCAAGCCCCACGTCCAGCTCTGTGCTGACAGCTCAGAGCCTGGAGCCTGCTTCCAATTCTGTGTCTCCCTCTGTCTGTCCCTCCCCTGCTCACAGTCTCTCTGTCTCTGTCTCAGAAATAAACAAACATTAAAAAATTGTTTTCTTTAAATCTCCACGTCAGAATTAAGGTGTATTCTAAGGTAACTTTAGGAACATGAAAGTTACTCATATTTTTAAATTTGCCACTAAAGTTGTACTTTATTCTGAAGATATCAACAGGAATTTAAAATTTTGGCAAACGATGTAATTCATTCATGTGATTGAAAACGTACCTAAGTATGTTTCATGCCTGGATTTTTCTTGATGTCTGCAGAATTCTACCTTCTCTCTCAGGTTATATTTGACCGTGATGTAGCGGTCACCACAGGGGGCGCCCTTCAGAGTCCCCGTCAAAGTCTCAGGCTTTGTGGACACACCTCGACTCGGGCTCTGAGCCCTTCTCTCGCCCCCCTCCGGCCTTAGCTGGAGCCAAGCTCAGGCCGCGTTAGAGCCTGTAACTTAGCAGCTGTGTGTTTTATGTGTTAACTTAAAAAGCGCTAGACATTTAGGTTTGTTGCAAGAGGAAGAAGGATCCCTGAGAAGAGCTTGTCGACCCTGAGTTTTGCCTGTTTGTGGTGATTTTTTTTTTCTGCTCTTTGTCCAGGTCGGGGCTCACTTTGTGGAGGCCGTGGTGAGGAGGTTTGACGCCGTTTACAAGAGCGGAGGCAAAGACGAGTGTGAAAACCTGTTCACCATCATCGCGCACTTGTATAACTTCCACGTGGTGCAGTCGCTCCTCGTCTTTGACATCCTGAAAAAACTCGTTGGGACTTTCACAGAAAAAGATATTGAACTCATCCTGTTGATGCTGAAAAACGTGGGCTTTTCGTTGAGAAAAGATGATGCGTTGTCACTTAAGGAACTGATCATGGAGGCCCAGGCCAAGGCCAGCGAGGCGGGTGGCAAGTTCCGCGACCAGACAAGGGTACGAGTGCGTCACCTGACCCGCTTCCTGGGTGCCTAATTCGCACCGACCAGGGCTCAAAATCAAGTATCTGGGGTAAAATCACGTTTAATTTCTTAGCGGTCCCTGGCCCCCGATGTCCTCTGCCTTGTCAGGTTTTGTGGTGTATCTTTGATAGGTAAACGCACCTTTTTCCTACTAAGAACTCAGGCATTTTGTGAATTTAAGCGTCAGTGTATTCCACGTTTATGCAGGGAGGGAACGCTTCCTAGGGAGGCCACGGGGCTCGGGTGTGGGCTCCTGGCACTGCCGCCTCGGGGACAGGAGAAGGGTTCATGTGGGGAGCGTGCCTGGGAGCCAGGGGCAGGAGGAGAGGGCAGAGGGCGCGTTGGGAGGCTTGGTGGCCCTTCGGGCGCTTAGGACCTTACCCTAGAGGCACCTGAGGGGCTCTGAGCAGGTAAAGGACAGGTGCTTTCTTGCTAATCCCACGTTGACTACCGTAGAAAGGGGGAGGTGGGCAGGCAGGGAAGTAGCGCTGCAGGGGTCTGGCGGGAAGGGGAGTGTCCGCTCGGCTCGCTCACACCAGATGTGGCTTTAGGGTTAGAAGTGGGTTGGAGGGGGGGCCGCCTGGGTGGCTTAGTCGGTTAAGTGTCCGACTTTCGCTTGGGTCACGATCTCGCGGTTCGTGGGTTCGAGCCCCGCATCGGGCTCTGTGCTGACTGCCAGCTCAGAGCCTGGAGCCTGTTTCAGTCTGTGTCTCCCTCTCTCTCTGATCCTCCCCTGCTCACGCTGTCTCTTTCTCTCCTAGAAATAAATAAAAATATTAAAAAAAAAAAAAAGTGGGTTGGAGGGGAAGGCGAGTGTGAAGGAATGGAAGGGGTCACCACCAGTGGACAGCAGGAGAGGAGAGTCCTGAATGAAGGTGCTGGGGCCAGCTCTGGAGAGGTGCTGGCGTCCCGGGGAGTGGGCGGAGCTGACGGTTTCAGAGTGGGAGTGTCTCCTCTGCCGGGGGCCCCCAGAGTGTCCCCAGGAAGCACTTGGCCCTGGGTGGAATGCCTAGAGGCCAGGTTTAAAACAAAAGTCTATGGAGGGGGGAAGTAGGCTCGGTTGCCTGGGGCGGGGTTTCGGCGGTGCTCATATGCATTTGGAGCCTCTTTCTGGGAGTGATAAACATGTCCTGACTGATCAGGACAGCTGCACCCCCCTGCTCATTGTAGGGTGTTACTTGGGTGAGTTTCATAGCATGTGAATTACCTCAATATAAAGGTAACATTTGGGGAAATCTTGGAGGCATGGGAAAAATGATTTTGTTCTTGCAAGTTTCTCTAATTATGACATTATTTCCAATTTAAAAGTTAGAAAAATAGGACCAGGAATGAGGAGACTTTAAAACGTAATGGAGAGAGAAGACAGCTAAGACCGAGGGTTTGGGGGGCACCAGGGGCGGGGACAGAGGCCTTGGAGACGGAGGAGAAACCGTCAGATCTTGGGCCCCAGAGGACGTCGGGTGACAGACGCGTATTCACACATAACCCTGAGCCAGAGGGTCAGGTTAGTGGGGACCGTGCACCTGCGGACCGCGCTGGTCTAGTCCCTTCCATCTCAAGGCGCTTACACTGCAAGAAATGACGCTTTCTTTTGTCCTTTTCCTTAAAGGTTCGGTTTATGCTGGAGACCATGCTAGCGCTGAGGAACAACGACCTGCGTAAGATCCCCGGCTACGACCCGGAGCCCGTGGAGAAGCTGCGAAAGCTCCAGAGAGCCCTGGTGAGGCCCTTTGGTGGAGGTCTGGAAGGAAGTGGACCTGTTAGCGAGGTGCCACATCCCGGTAGTACGAGCTCAGGGTCCTGGAGGGCAGTGTCACATTTCTGTGGAGAGACCTCTGACTGGTCTGTGCCGAGGGTCCCCAGCACTTAGCCCATGGTGCCCGGCTTGGCCGCACAATAGAATTCTCCAATCGCTCTGTAAGGGGGCTCAGGCCATGGCTCTGCCCAGACCAATGAGGTCACTATGGGGGTGGGGGGCCACCTGTTAGCTCCCTAAAAGTTCCCCAGATGTGGGGCCACAGCTGGGGCCCACAACATCCCCAGTCAGGGGTCCTTTGGCCCCAACTCTGGGCAGGTCCAGAATTGCTGACTCCAGCCCCCAGGTGCCTCTGGAAAGTTCTTACCGCCAGCTCGGTGCAGCTGTCCTCGGAGCCGAAATCTGAGCCTCTCCCTGGTGTGGACGCTCTCCAAACACAGCAGTGAGAGTTTATGCCTAACTCTGGCGTCATTCCAAACTGGCTAACTGTCCCAGTGGTCGGTGACTCCTTGTAGCGTTCACAAACCAGGGGCACCTGGGGGCTCAGTCAGCTCAGGTCATGATCTCACGGTTCGTGGGTTTGAGCCCCGTGTCAGGCTCACTGCTGACAGCTCGGAACCTGGAGCTGCTTTGGATTCTGGTCTCCCTCTCTTTCTGCCCCTCCCTCACTTGCACTGCCTCTATCAAAAATAAACATTTAAAAAAAAACAGTATTCACAAACCAGAAATTCCATTATCAAAAACAGAAGAAGCCCAAGGGTGAGGAGATGCAGACTGTGAAGCACCTGCAGTGTTTCACGAGCTCCTTCTCTCCAGGTGCGTGGCACCGGCTTGGGGACAGAGACTCAGCTCCGCGTCTCCTGGGACAGCATCCTGAACGCGGAGCAGACCGGGCGCTGGTGGATTGTGGGGTCTGCGTGGAGCGGGGCGCCTATGATTGATAGCGGTCAGCAGAAGATCCCGGAGAAGCAGCCGGCGGGGACGGTACGAGACCCCCAGGCCCCTGTTGGGCACACCATCCGTGATCCCTGTGGGCCCCCTGAGGTCTTGCTGCGGCCCTCCCTGCAGCGGCCACCTGGCTCCCTGGACAGTGTTCGACATGTACACACGAGGCCACATTCAGAAGCTTACTGTTCAGTGATGAAACTTAACTCCATTTCTGTTGTTTAAGTCCCTGAACACGTTGCATGAAGGACTTAGAAGTTGAAGGAGGGAAACACGAAGGCCGAGCACTCACACTGCAGGTACCAGGCTCAGTGCAGACAGGTGTTTCCCAGGAGGTGCCTGTGGTCCGTTAGGCTCGGGTTTCAGGTGGTCGGAATCGTTGTATTTCTTTGTATTTTATTATTAACTAAAGTCCATATGTTATTCCAATTTTCCTCACTTTCCTAGGACATCCTTTTTTTTGTCCCAAGATCCTATGTCTTACATTGTTGTCCTGGCTCTTCTGGCTGCGGCCACTTCTAATTCAAGTCGTTACCGTCTAGACTGATGGTGCTGCTCCCGAGAAGCCTCCCGAATCAGGCGGTGTTCTCCTCCCGCGGCCTCTTTGTCCCCTGCGCTGTGTTCTCTTGGGGGCTCCCCAGGGATGCGGCTTTAGCACTCACACGTATAAATTTATGTAGAATTCGTAGCTAACCTTCCGGAAAGCCATAAAAGCACACACGTTTATCTTTTAGAAACTTAGTAACGACAGTGAACGAAATTAACTTTCGCCTGAAACATCTGTGTGGTCTGTTTGACTTGTCCCTCTTTCAGGTTAGCGGGAAGATACTAGAACTCGCCAGGAAGCAGAGGATGAACACCGATGTCAGGAGAAATGTGTTCTGTACAATAATGACGAGTGAAGACTTTTTGGACGCGTTTGAAAAGCTTCTGAAGTGAGTGTGTGAGCGCCTGGGGCTGCGGTTTGCTGGGACGTTGCGGCCAGAGTCTGCGCGTTGAGCTCTGCGTTCCCGGCGTCCGCTGCCGGCTGGCCGCTGGGGTCCGGAGTGGACCGTGTTCGATGCACGGTCATTCTCAGCAACTGTTTATTGTCATAAGTCGCTTAGAATCTTCGTATGAGCTTGCCTTTCCAATTACTTCCAAGTTAAAAGCGTCCTGGTGCAGTTGCTGCGATTGTGAGATTTTTCAGGCCCCTGTGTGCCCTCACAACAGCCTTCTCGGGAAGGGGGTAGTTCATTTTCCTGTGTTTGCTTCCCACGGAATGAAACTCCCGGGCGCGAGGACAGGCCCACCGTGGCACCCGTCTTGTGAGCCACGCCTCCTCTCCTCGGCTCCCCTCTGCCCGGCCTGCCTGGCAGGCTGTGCCCCTCTGGAAGATTCGCTCACCGCCGTCTCTGTCGCAGGCTTGGGCTCAAGGACGAGCAGGAGAGGGAGATCGCCCACGTTCTCCTGGATTGCTGCCTTCAGGAGAAAAGCTTCAACCCCTTCTACGCGTTCCTGGCTGGCAAGTTCTGTGAGCACGAGAGGAAGTTCCAGGTAGCTCTGTCAGCAGGCCGCCCCCACCCCTGCCCCGCGCCACTTCCTGGGCCTTCCGTGTGGCTCAGCCCAGCGGCCTCGAGCACCCGGAGTCAGTGGCCCAGCCGGGGCCGAGGCCAGGCCTCTCGGGGAGAGCCCGGGGCGGGGCGGGGGCATCAGCGAGGCGGAGTGGCAGGGAAAGGGTTGCTGCGCCACCTTTTCCTGCCGCGGGTGAGGGCACCTGGCGGCCCATGTCACCGGGAGGGTCCCTGGCTGCTGTACTGCTCCGGCCTCTTCTCGTCTCTGATGTTTCCGCCGCTTCGAGGGAAAACGCGGTTCAAACCATGCGTGGGACGGGAGGACCTGACTCGGATGCCGCAGACGCATGAGTAGCAGCGTGGCTTTAGAGTGTGTTCTCGCGCGTGTCCTACCAGTTTCCTGCGTTTTGACTTCGTCTTTTTCTTCAATCAATCAGATGACTTTCCAGTTCAGCATGTGGGATAAATTCCGGGACCTAGAAAACTTGCCAGCCACTAACTTCTCTAATTTGGTTCACCTGGTGGCCCACTTGTTGAAGACAAAGTCACTTCCACTCTCCATTTTAAAGGTTTGTATCACAGACGGAGTTGCTGAGAGCAATGAAAATGATAAACAATTGCTTACGTTTGGTCCCTTAAGAAAATTTGTTTCCTTAAGTTCTGACATACCTGAAACGTGTTTAATTTTATCTTGAGAGAAAGCGCATGTGTATGAGCAGGGGAGGTGCAGGGAGAGAGAATCCTAAGCAGGCTTCTCATCATCAGTGCAGAGCCCAGTGCGGGGCCCCCATCCCACAGCCGTGAGGTCATGACCTGAGCCGAAATCAAGAGTCATATGCTCAACCAGAGCCATCCAGGCACCCTAGTTTGTTTTTTGTTTGTTTGTTTGTTTGTTTTTAATAATTTATTTTTGAGAGAGAGCATGAGCAGAGGAGGGGCAGAGAGAGAGAATCCCAAGCAGGCTCTGCACCATCAGTACAGAGCCAGATGCGGAGCTCGAACTCACAAACCGTGAGATCGTGACCTGAACCGAAATCAAGAGTCAGACACTCAACTGAGCCCCCACCCCCACCTCCCTAGCAGCCCTGAGAATTGTGTTTATAACACATCACACCATGAAAAGTAGCCGGGGTGGCTTGCAGTGTGCATGTGCTCAGTAAAGGAAGGCGCTGTGAGGCTCTGCTCATCTTGGAGGCTCTTGTCTGGAGTCGAGGTTCCCGTGCAGGCCCTGATGATACAGCCTGACCCGCGCTGGCTGCCGCTGCAACCGGGGTGGGGGGGGGGGGGGAGGTAGGGAGCTGGCGGGCCGCCATGCAGGGCTTCTGCGTTTTCTCCCCTTGGGATGGACGGCATCTCTTAAAGCGAAGGGCGCCCCCGCCCTGCCCTGCTTCCAGGTCACATCCGAGCCAGTGACGTGCAGGTGCCCCAATGTGTGGAGTGGACAGGGGAACCTAGATAGAGGACATGGCGTTTGAGGTGGCCGCCGGGCCTGGGCGTCCTGGAAACGTGGACAGGGAGCCTGCGGGCAGAGAGGGTGTTCGGGGCCTGGACTCCGGTGCCTCCTGCTCCCTGACGTGCAGACTGGTGGCCGCTGCGGTTTCCTGGCTTCCTGACGTGTCCAGCCACCAGGGCCCTGATGTTAGGTTGGGTGTGGTATTGGGTTCCGGTCACTGTGCTGAGAACCAGGCACTGAGCCTTCTGCCACATTCCGGAAATGGCAGTGTTGTGACAGATGGTGAGGATGTGCCTTCTCATTGCTGGACTAGACCTTGCCTTCGGTTCCCTCAAGTTTTGAGTTCAGATTGGAGGAGGATGCGATGTTTCCCTGGGTTCCGTGGAACCTAGAGATGTCCTTGAAACGTGTCCGGGGTCCTCCGCCAGCCCCATTTGCTGGGTCCTCTCTGGTTCTCAGGAAGCTGTTGAACTCTGACTGGGCCTGTGTGTCTACAGGTGACACGTCATGTCATCTCACGTACTGTGTCCTCCACGTGGACAGTACTGTCCTGCCCCTGTGTTGAGTATCCTTTTACAGTTCCTTGTGGTTAGGTCAGCATGAGTTTGAAGTATATCCACGTTTATACCTTTAATTCTCTTTTCTGGTTTCCTCCCGCACAGTGTTCCGTGGTGTAAGTGTACCGAAGGTTATGTGTGTTTCTCAGGGAGCGTATGTATATACGCAAATATGAGGGACTCCCCTCAGATCTAAACTCTGTGTCTATGGGGTGATTTGGCTGTGGTTTCTTGAAGGCCTGCGCCTATGTGTGCTTCAGTTCTAGAATTCCTGATTCCTAACTTGTCGCCCCTATAAACTCTCAGCAGCAGCGCGCCCCCGGCAGTGGCTTGCACTCCCCTGCCCACGGCCCCTCCCTTGCCAACAGCCCTTCATTCTGTAAAACTGGAAATAGTTTACTTAAAGGGGGCAGGTAATTTTTTACTCTTAATTAGAAGTCAATGAGAAAGTTGACTAAATCCATGTAACTTTTTCTCTGTCCTGACTCTAATTAGGTAGTTGAATTCAGTGAATTAGATAAACCCAGAGTCCACTTTTTACGGAAAGTGCTGTATATGCTGTTGATGGAAACTGAAGTTGAAGACCTTGCTTCAATTTTTGCAAGGTAAGTGCCCATCTTGCTCTGTTCTAACACGGAAAAGAGATAAGGAGAGTTATTTCTACTCACATAGGTTGTTACGGATTACATGCAGCCTAAGAAGTTATTTGCTTGATATCTTATACGTTAGATTTGGGGAGCACCCCACCTGTTGGAGTGCAGACCAACAATGTCTAGTGTGTAGCGTAGGTTGTTAAGCTCTTGATTCAGAACCTGCTTTGAAAGCAGTTAGGCTGCGTCTCCCAATTGGAGACCCTGGGGCTGTGGCTGTCACTGACACGCAGCTCCTCACGCCCTTCCCAGGGTGGCCGACAGCCCGAAGCTGGGCGTGCTGAGAGAGGGCCTGAAGCTCTTCATCAGCCACTTCCTGTTGAAGCGCGAGCAGGCGCACACGAGTGCGGAGGAGGCCGGCGTGCTGAGAGAGAGGGCCGATGTCGCCACCAAGTGTTTGCAAGGCAAGGCTTCCCTGCGAATGTAGTCTGCAGAGGGACAGCACGTGAGTGGTCATCTGTCTGAAAACATCCTTTTCAAACCCACGAGGCTCGATTTTCCGCTGACCATGTGTAAACGCCTCACGGGCCTATGCCACGGCTTGCTGTATTTAAGATACTGTATTTTAGATGATGTTTTAATTTAAGGTTATGCTGTATTTATGTATTCATCTGTTTTCACGTATCTGTGTACGTGGTGGAGTTGGGAGAAGACGGGGAGGGAAGTTCAGACAGACCCTGGACGTGTTCTCCCGAGCCGAGAGACTGCCTCGGGGGCGGGTTGGCGTGTGTGGGGGCGCTGGTCGTCTTTAATAGACAAAGCAGGCCACTAGGGGGCACAGTTACAAAGAAGTTGATGCGTTTTTTAATCTTTTTTAATATATTGGTTAAAAGTTCACGAACCGTCAGTCAGGTGTGGTACCTGATATGTAACTGAATGTGTCGAGTGTCGGGAATGGAAACCTGGGAACGTCAGCAGCTGACCTGAGCCTTGCAGAGGCCTGCCCGGCAAGGTGCGTGGAGCCGCCCTCCAGCACTGGCCTAAAACTGGGACACGGTGGAGGACACCCTTCCTGTTTGCGTCTGTCACTTACACTCATCAGCTCCAGATTGTAAAGCGCTTCGCCAACCAGCTTGACGTCAGCAGGTAGCGGACACTTCCCCGGTGCGGCCGCCGAGCCTGTCCCAGGAGGGGCGTTGTGTGAGGAAGGGGCGTCTCGCAGCGAGACGCAGCCCTGCTTGTGCGGCGAGCTGCGGCTGATTCTGTGCAGGGGTGCGTGTCCCCCCGGCCGGCAAGTGTCTGTCGTCTCTGCAGCTCCTCGGACCTGCTCCTCTGTCGTAAATGCTGCAGACCTGACTTACGTGTCACTTTCGGTTGTTGAAAAGTCCTCAAAATGAGTTTATATGTTAGTATTTTCTACACACTAAACGCACGCATCTGCTGTCCGTCAGAGTGGTCCCCCTGGGAAGCGGCACTGGCCTGAGTGCAGCCTCGCTCCTGTGCAAACCGCCTCTTGTCACAGACTTTCACGTGACGCGACAGCGGTTGGTGCCTAGAAACCACCCATGGGAAGTGCTGAGTCTCCGTGGGCGTCCCTCACCACAGGTGTCAGTTTTGTAATGTGTCAGGGGCCTGGGACACTCGGTGCCGTCTGGCCCTTCTCGTGCTTGTTAACCCCACGGCCAGGAGCCACCCCGGTCCTGAACTTGCACGACAGAGAAAAGCCTGTGTCAGCGCGCCCAGAGCCTCCCCTCTGTCAAGGGCCCTTCGCAGAACGTGCTGGGCGGTGATCAGGCCGGACGGGCCAGTGCTTCTCGTGCCCGACCCGTCTGCGCGCAGCTGCCTGTGTCCAGAATGTCCTGCTTTGGAGAAAAACGTGTGCCTCGAACTAAACCGTGAGCTTAACGACCCAGTCAGCCTACATTCCAGAGCCCACTCCTTCCTGTCTCCCCGGGTCGCCCGTAACTGACCGGAGCCCATTCTCTGTGAGGACAACTGCTGAGACCGAGAGAAACTTCCATGCAGCGCAATGGTCCCCCCACATCCATGACACGCGCACCAGACCCCGGAGGTGTGGACAAGCCCAGGCTGCCGCTTCCTAGGAGATAAACTCGTGCGAGCCGTGTCCCACTTTTACGTTGTCCTGTATTATTACAACAGCAGGAGTGACTATGTTGGTGACTTAATTCCTAATGGCCGAGTTGTCCCATTTGTTACATGCCAACTTTTCCGCAAATCCGTCCTCTTTAAGTGTAAGCGCCCCTTTTAACACAGTATCATGGGTTATCACGTGTCCGTGTGCTTTACGTAAATATATCTTGACCAAAGCTATTGTGATTTCAGATTTGCTTTTAAATACATAGGTTTTTAAAATGCACTATGATAATCTGCATCTGAAAAATACTGCAGTCAGTGCTGGGTGTCTGTGAGTTCTTGTGATGCAGGTTGAGAACTGCTATCGTATTGACGGGATTTATGAAAAGGTGTCTTTTAAGGAGTTTTTTTTTTTTTTTTTTAACAATCTCTACATCCAACCTGAGGCTTGAACTCACAACCCCAGGATCAAGAGCTGCCTGCTCTGCTGATTGAGCCAGTCAGGCGTGCATATGGGATTTCATCTCCAAAATAGAGACCTAAGGGACAAACTTTTTAACATGTTAAAATGTACAAATAAAAATATTTTTTATATATACAGTGCTCGTGAAGGTTTATTTTGAAAGGGGAAGTCTGTGCTGCTAAGCATAGGGCTTAGACGCACCTGAAACACACATGCACGCGCGCGTGCGCGCGTCTGCGCCCAAAGAGGAGATAGAGCAAAGGAGGCAAGATGCTAACCATTAGTGGATCCGGGTGAAGTCTGTGCAGACAAAGTATTCTAGCTTTACATTCTCCATGAGTTTAAATTACTTCAAAACAAAAGAATTTTGGTAAGGCGTTCCTAATGCAGAACCCAGCCTTCAAAGTGATAAAATACTCGTGATTTTTCACAAAAATAATTCAGCCAGCTGAAATCACCTTTGCCTCCTTCGCTGACTAGCTGGGCCTTACTCTGTACAAGAGTGACGGGCGTATGTCATTTGCGCTCGACGTGGCCCCAGGGTGGGGGGTGGCCGGGGTCATTCCTGGTCACAGCTCGGAGCCTGCACGTGGGCTGGGACTCGGGCCCCCTAGCCACCCTGCACGCATGAGCGGCCGGCTCGTGCTTCCTCTCCATGGTGGGCTGGGTGCCAGGCCCGCGTCATTTTCTGAAGGTGGCGTCACGCCCTGTTACCCCGAAGGGCTCTGTGTGTGTTTCCTGAGAGTGCCGTCCCGGCCCCGGAGTCAGGGCACGAGTCAGGGCGCGAGTGTGGACGGAACAGCCTCCACGTGGACGGGGCGCCAGCACTGCCCCTCCGTGTGGGCCTTCCTGCTGCTACTCAGGATCCGGCCCACACCGCCGTTCCCTTCTGTCAGGAGCCCCGTGACGGCAGTCTGTCCCACTGACGCGGTTCACTGGAGCTGGTGCAGGCCATGTGGGCTGGGGTCCACACCGGCCATGACCGTGTGCAAGTAGAGCGGAGGAACCCAGTTAACCTAGCGCTGCACATGCCCAGTCGCCCCCCAGGCTGTCTGGGGCTCTCTGGGTCGCGTCCACGAGCAGCTGGGCTGCTCCGGGTCTGGCGAGAGGGGCCTGCTGCCACGTGCCCTGCCAGCCCTCGGGGCTCCCGCCACACCTCTGGGCCACACGTCTCGGCCGGAATAGCCAGAGTGGCTTCTGTTCCCCGCACTAACGGCTGAGAGCCCGGTAAGCTGCTGGATGTTTCCGGGTAGCCTGCCTGGCGCTCGGCCTCCCTGCGGGCCCTGAAGGCCTTTGCTTGGGCTTGTTCCTCGTCCGGCTGCCCCGTCCCTGGTACCAGAGCGCATGCCGTGTGCCATCCCGTGAGCACAGAGAGCGTCCCGACCACAGGAGGGCCCACGGCGCGATCCGGGATGCGGGCCCCGCAGCAGGTGCGACACCTCTCGGACCGCCCCCCCCCCCCCCCCCCCCCCCCCCCGCCCAGCTCGCTGCCTGCTCCCTGCAGTGTGTGTGGACACGTTTGTTCGCGGGCTGTGCCGTCTCTGACCTGCTTCTGCGCAAAGCCTCTTCTGAGGTGCGCGTGAGATCGGAACTGTCGATTCGGCCCAGCGCTTCCTGGGGGCCTGCCCGGTGCCACCCTTCCAGCTGTAGCCTGGGTTCCAAGACTGAAGTGTGACCAGCTGGCCTCGGTCGTGAAAGTGCGCCAGATGTGTGAGGGGGGCAGCCAGCGATGCCCACAGGGACAGGGACCCAGAGCTTTCCACAGAGAGCAGCTGAGACAGGCACCCTGGGGACACTCAGGGCCTCCGGGCATGGGTCCCTGGGCGCAGGTCCCTGCCATGGCCTGGCTGAGGACAAGGCAGCAACGCCACAGGTGTGCTTGGAGCCTGATGGTGAAACCCTGTGTCCGCGCTGAGGAGGTGGGGGGTTGCTCAGTGACAGCAAGGTCCTGACCAAGCACGGCTCTGGACGGGCAAGTGGCTGAGCTGGTGACCGGCCAGGGAGCCAGTTCCTGTGACCTGCCCAGCAAGGCGCGCTGCACCAGGGTCGGGGTGGCAGCAGCCAGGGGCCCTTCTGCAGACACTTGGGAGAGAGGGGAGTTTGACCTTGGCGCCCTGGACCCCACAGAGGGCAGGAGCGGGGTGGGGGCGTGCAGACACACCACCCGGAGGCGGGAGCCACGGCAGGGAGCCCGGGGACCCGCGCACAGAACACTGCCACTGAGCAGAGAGAAGGGGCGGCCAGGGGCCACGGACTTGGCTTTGGGATTGTCTAGAACGGTTCAAAGACATCCCAGAGGCGGAGCTCGCTAACCGCGGAGGCAGCTTCGCGCAAAGACTGCGCAGTCACAACACGCCGGAAGCCCCCGTGAGGCCCTCCTGACGCGTCCCTGAGCGTGAAGGGTTGAAGACCACGCACAGGTGCGCATGTGATGCACCCCATAACGGACGGTGACACCGAAGGTCGGGGGACTTGGGTTTTCTCAGGAAAGTCATCGGGCGCAGGGATCTGCACTGTCCTTCTTCCCACCGGGGAGGTTTTGTGCCCTACGCCGCGCTGCGGGTCGAGGTCACAAGGAGGTGACATTTATCTTGAGCACAGCAGGATAAATGATGAAAAGTTCTGTTTGCGCGATAAGATGATGAAAGGGAAATCGGACCCAGCGTCCAGTGCTCTGAGGGTGCAGGGGTGACGTCAGGAGCAGGGAGGGCTGCGCGGGCTCGGAAAACAATGCCCTGTGTGTGCCCACGGGCTACCCGGGCCGAGTGGTTTTGACCTTGAGTCTGTCCAAACAAGGATGTATGGGCCACTGACCTTCGAGGCTTATCAAGGCAATGCTTTCCCACCCCTTCCCCCGAAGACACCCCTTGCCCTGTGCTCTGCCTCTCCCACGCCCCCCACCCCTGCCGCGGCAGGGCCCTCCCCCGCCTGCAGCCCAGCCAGGGAGCCGCGCCCTGCCCTGGAGAGCGCCCCTCGCAGGCAGCAGGAGGCACAAAGCCGGACCGTGCGGAAGTGAAACCGGTTAAGGGCATTTTATTCCCTCTAGAAGGTCGTTTGTGACGGACCCTTCCCCTCATTCTGCTCTGTCGAAGGGTCTGTGAAGACGAGGGCAAATTCTTCCACTTGTGTGTGGGGTTTGCCCGTTAACGTCTGCCGTGTTCGCCTTTTCTCCTCTTCGTACACACGTCCACGTGCCTTTGTACGCTCGGCGCGTTGTGCCGGCAGCGTTTGGAAACAGACATCGGGACACCTGACGCCTCAAGCGCCAGGCACCTCGTGAGAGCGGGCACCTTCTCCAGCAGCCGCGGTGCCCGCAGCGCATTGGGCGCGGGGGCGGCGCCAGAGTCCGCACCAGCCGGTGTGCGAGCCGCTCGTTCTGAAGCGGATCCTCCGGAATGTTTGCCCTGCACCCAGGAACACGACCAGGGCCCAACGCTGCGTCGCCTTTTCACTTCTGTAACAGAACCCGTCCTCCCTGCTCCTTCAGAAAGCCCTGGACGCTGGGCGTTTGGAGAGTCCTGGCCGGTGCTCGGGGGAGTCCGGGTGTGCCTGCGAGCCTGGGGGCAAACGCTTTGGGGTCACACGGGGGCCCCAGGGCAGCTCGCCGCTGGTGACCGCCGGTGCTAAGTGCATCCCAACATCAGGCTCAAGGCCACAGACGTGCAGAACGGTCGTTTTCTAGCTGTCATTCCTCCTACATGATCAGCTGCCATTCTTGCTTCAAATGAGTCTTCCTCATGGGGTTCCCCGGGGGGCTCAGCGGAGCACGCGACTCTTGGTCTCGGGGTTGTGAGTTCAAGCCCCACACTGAATGCAGAGATCACTTAAATAAACTTTTTAAAAAAAGAGCACGTTGGGGCGCCTGGGTGGCTTAGTCGGTTAAGCGTCCGGCTTTCACTTGGGTCATGATCTCGCGGTTCGTGGGTTCGAGCCCCGCGTCAGGCTCTGTGCTGACTGCCAGCTCAGAGCCTGGAGCCTATCTGTATCTCCCTCTCTCTCTGACCCCCCCCTGCTCACGCTGTCTCTCTCTCTCTCTCTCCTAGAAATAAAATAAAAAATATATATATATATAAAAAGAGCACGTAAAACGAACCTTCATATAGTCCTCTCCCCTTTCCCCGGCGGAGATGAGACTCCACCCACCTCTAGTCGGCTGACGTGTGACGCAAGGCTCTGGTTGTGCCCGAACGCACTGTAACGGGCTGTGGCCAGGGCAAGACCTGCAGAGGCCGTCAGCCGGAGGGGGGCAGGGTGCCCAGCTTGGAGGCAGGGACCTGTCGGGAGTGAGGCCTGCCGGGTGGAAGGGAGCCGTCGTGGGCGGCCAAGCTTCCGGAACCCCCAGCTGCCCGGCCTGGAGTCCCAGTGAGATTACCCTTCCCGGCCCTGGGTCTGGGCCTGGGGTGCTATTTTGTCACTTTGTCTGTGTGCTGTTGAGAACAAACTTTGGGGGGCCCCTGGGTGGTTCAGTTGGTTGAGCATCAGTCGTCAGCTCAGGTCATGATCTCACCGTTCGTGGGTTCAAGACCCGCGTCAGGCTCTGTGCTGACAGCTCAGAACCTGGAACCTGCTTCCGATTCTGTGTCTCCCTCTCTCTCTGCTCCTCCCCCACTCTCTGTCTCTCTGTCTCTCAAAAATAAGTAAACTTTTAGAAAAATTAAGACAGGAAAAGCCTGGGCATCACAGTATGCAATCCCATTTTAACGAGGCAATGACGACTCGGCAGAGGTGCCGCTTGGTGGGTCCTGAGGTGCAGAAGGGACCGGGAGTGTCAGGCCCGGCCCACGGCCAGCCTCCCCCGCGGAGCATCAGCCCCCAGAGGTCACCCCATCTCGGAACTGCTGTGCCTGCTACTTGTGTTTCCCTAATGTCCAGGTGGGTTTGTGGGCACCTGTGGCCACGTCAGTGGGACCTCTGGGACTCGGGATGGGTTCACTAGCAGCCCGTTAAGGCAACCTGCCGTCGTGTCTGCTTCGCACCGATCCTTACTCCTGTCCGTTGCGGTGACCGGCTGTCCTGCCTGGTCCAGGAATCCGGGCAGTTCTCAGGCTGGAGCGCTTTTGGTGCTAGGACTGGGAAAGTCCCAGAAGACTGTGATGGGGACCGTCCCCTACGTGCAGGAGCCAGTGTGCAGCCGC